TATATATTATATATATTATATTGTGTAACCTGATTTTTGCCCAGACCCCCCCTAAAAAATCAGGTGATAAATGACACATCCCTTATCTCAATATTTTTAAGAACTAATCAATTATACAAATTTAGTTCTTAACGATGTAAAAAACCAAAAACACAATTTTAATAAAAAATACAAGCTTAACCAAAATTATAAAAAGAAAATCATTATACATTAGATATAAACAATTATTTGAATAGTATCACTATTTATTAAATACAAAAAAAAACCAAGAAACTTACAAGATTGTAAATTTTTTGCACTATATGTTCAAGTTTAAACTTGAACACACATTCATCAATTCAATTTATCCAATTTTCTTAGATTAAGATTTCTAAATTATCATTATTTTTGCAGATAACTTACAGGAATCTAATCTCGAATTTCAATCTACTATATTCATCATTATATTCTTTTTCGAATTATCACTATATGTTGCTTCGCTTATTTCTTTTGTCAAACTTCATTTCACATTTTAACTCGCACTAGTGTTACTTATTTTGCTGAATTATACAAACCTTCGCATACGAACTTTAAATAGAACTTTTATAAAATTTTTAATCTTTTATATCTACAAAAATACAATCCTTATCAATTTACCATAAATAGATAATAAAACTTTAATCTCTTAAAAATATCACAACATTTTCAATATTCAATATAAAATAAATAAATAAATAACCAATAATTGTAGTGGATTATAATAAAATCCTAATCAAAATGAAATTATAATATAAAATCTCGAAAAATAAAATTTTTTGGGGGTGGGATAGGGGTTAGTGTTAGAGGTTAGTTTTAAAGTAAAGTTATAACAAACAAGTGTAAGTAGGTTTTAAAAGGTTAATAGGTTGAGTAGAAAATATAAATTTCATTTTAAATTATGATCCACAAAAATAATTAACTTTAGAAAAAAAAACAAGAAAAATGAACCTACTCGATATCTATTTCGATCTTTAAAATTGCCTTTACCAACACCCAAATAAATCAATTATCATCTAATTAAGTCGATAAGAAGAATAAAAGAAAAACCTGTTAAAATTTACAATCCAAAAACAATAATTCAAAACTTGCTTATCGTTATTAAATACAAAAACCCGTTTCAAAAAATCATACGACTTTAAGAAAAATATAACAACATGTAAAATAAATAAATGTATAAATCAATCGCATTTTTTTCCAAAAATAATCCTTTCATTTTACAAGAAAAAAAAAATGACCTTAATCTTCATATCCTTATACTTTGTCAAAACTATCTTAGGAAGTGACAAATATGTTCATGGAAGTGCCCTTTACAGAACTAACAATACCAAAACTAAATTCAGAGAATTAACCTACAAAGGCTTTATTACTGCCCAGGATTCTCTAATTACAGAACTAAAGAAAAATTCAATAGTCCTAATGACTGGGTGCTATGTACTTGAAGACAGGAATACATAAAAATAATACTATAAATATAATGAAAAATAAACCTTTAACTATACAAAATTAATTAATTGGTTTTTATAACCCGACCAAACAAATTTTAACCTTTTTATATAAAATTTTTTATACTTTAATAACTGAATTAACTTCTAATAAAACAATCATCTCTCTATATCATCATCTTCTATATAATTTTATCATACATAATTATATATATATTTAAGCTAAGATATAAAAAATAATCGTCTATCTAAACAAAACTTCTCTATAAACAAATTTTTACTAAAAATTACTATCTATCTAACCATTTGATTATATGAGAAGATGACTGTATTTATTTGTAAAATTAAAAAAAAAACTAACCTGCAACATCTACTAAAAATGTATCATGTTACAAGAACCAATAAATTAAATTTGCATTACTTAACTTCAAGCTTTTTTTAATTTTTATTTTAATTCACTTTTCAAAAAAATCTAGCTTACCTTGGTGCGCATACACTTATTTGCGCCGGTGATACAAACCAAATAAGGAAATTTTCTTATGAAGATCGCAAGATTAGGTGTAATAGTTGGTGTAACATTAAAATGAAAGCTTTTTTAAAAAATAGTCGGTAGCTCAAAATTCTGACTAAGAAATCACCTTTAACGTTTTAATAAAAAAAATTACTTGCAAAATTTTAGTATATATTACCTTTAGGCCATACAAACTTAATAAATCGGTTCTCATAACCCGGCCGGGTCAAATTTTACAAAACTTTAAAAAAAAATTTTAAGTATATTTACTATCCGGGTGGGTTTTTCTAAAAAATTTATAAAAAATTTTATATGTTCTTTATATAGAAAATTTTTTGAAAATAAAATTAAAAGCCGGGTTGCCGGGTCACTTTCAAAAATTTTATGTTATGAGAACCGATTTATTAAGTTTGTATAGCCTTACTACTAACCCTAACATCGTGACTCTCATGCATTATTTGTGCCAATAAAAAAGGATATTTTTTGTTTTTTTCCTTTTTTGGTTTGTATTACTGGCGCAAATAAGTAAATCGCCTTGGTGCAAACCATACCAATCTATATCTCTGACAAAATAGAACTTACTCCAAGTAATCTTCCCTATGCATCACCACTATTATTATATTCTGTTTCTGTCATCTCTGATTCCTACTTTTCAAACAATAACCTTGGTATAGAAAGTCTTATGCTTACCAAAAAACTATACAATAGCATCAATAGTCATTGAAATATAGAGTTAGAAGTAATCGTTTCTTACTCCAACCAGAATAGTCGTTATGATGCACTGAAAAACAACCTGAAGAAAACTGTTTTTCTGTAATCAGAAGATTAAAAATTGGTGCTAAAAAAATGCTTCATATCATAGCTTCTGACATTGAATGGAATTATACTAACAACGAACTATTCACTGAAACTTCAAATAAAGAAAAAAGAAAAGCTCAAAATGATATCAATAATCACCTTGATACTATCGAAGAAAAATATGCTAAACTAAGCTCTACTCCTTCAAGAAAAAGAAAACCAAATTTATTAGCTACCTTCTTTTTTTCTAAAACCCAAAAAACTTCTCCTGAAACCAAATCTAATTTTTTAAATGCCGTATCTCAAATTAAAAGTACTGATCCAGTATTGCAAAACAACACCAACACACAAGATGATCCTGACAATGCCAATACACAAGATGATTCTGACAATACCAATATACAAGATGATCCTGACAATGGCAATAAACCAACTATTATTGAGTAAATTTTTTCTTACACTACCGGACAACAAAAACATCCAATATTACTTCAAACCCACTATGCTTAATATTCATATTCTATTAGGCTCAAACTTTTGCTTACATGTAAATTTATAACAAATAACTTCTTTTCTAAAAATTGTTTTTTCAGAATTACAATCATTCTTATACATACTTTATATACAAAAAAATATTTTTTGCTAATCTGTACTTATCAATTTTATTTGACATCTAAATAAAATCTATATCTTTATACATTTTTAAACAAACTTATATTAAATACAAAACCAAACATAACACATGATTACCTACTTTAATATAAAATACAAGCACATAGTAAATCTAACTATTGTTATACATATCGATATATGTACATGAGAACTTGTACAATACCAAAAAAATTTTCTCTATAGCCTTGATATGGAAATCATATAATCATCATAAGTAGTAAAAGAATATTAAGTTTATCTAGAATGCAACAAAAATAAATTATTGATACGCATAATTTTGTAATTATACACAATCCCATTCATCCTTATTATCAATTATAATTTATGCAGTTTAATATATACAATTTCTAAAAATCATCGTAATTTAACCCATTTTCAAACATGATACCAAAACTTAAGTAAATACATATTATTTTTAATACTACTACAATACTATTCTATATAGAATACAAACAAAAGTCCCAAATAAGTTAATTCCTACTATTTAACTATTCAAAAAAATTTTCTTATCTCCAAATATAGATATTAAATCCAAGAAATAAATATTAAATAAACCAATATAATATACAACAAAACTTGCAAATTTATCAATTTGGCCGAATAATTTTTAAAACTCAAATATAATTTAAATATAATAAAATGCTAGATACAAGAATCAAGGTTTGCAGTTGAATAACTTAAATATATATAAAAATTATTATGCCAATTAGACATTTAAATATAGAAAACTCTATACTTCCAATTCAGATCAAAACAATTAGACATATAAATATTATCATTCTTAACAATAATTCCAAGAATAGTAAATTCTATATAATATACAAGAATGTAATCTACAATCTACAATAACCAAACTCAGCTTTTTTTAAAATCTCCAAGCAATCTATTATAAATAAAAACTATGCATTCTCTTTAAATTTTTCTTTTAACTATATAAATATCTAACCACATATTAGCTCTAAAATCTATGATAAGTTTTAACAAATCTATACATCGCAAACTAGTAAACAAATAAAATTTTCAAACTCTAAAAATAATTCGAATAAAGGTTTCAACTCTAGAAATATCTTAAACAAGATTTTAAATATAATGTAAACTTTTATAACCCAATTACTTCATTTTAATAAAAAATCTAATTTATATATCAACATATATATACATCTTCATTTTAATATAATTAAAAAATTTATAAGTACTTACTCATTACAATGCATTTTCACTATGTACTTACAGTACTTACAACCCAAATCTAGAAAATTTTATTAAAAATCAAATAACAATCTAACAAAACTATTACCAAAAAAAAATATATAAATCGATATAATAATCGTATACTCTTTCTAACGAAATCAAAAAAAATTGTAAAATTGCTACTGCAATAAAAACTCAAATTTAAACAAACTTGAATTCGCAACATACAAACCATACCTACAAGATCAAAAAAAAATTTATCTTCACTAAAACTAATAATATTCAATCACAAAATAAACTATTTTCCTTTTTTTACATCTCTTACAGAAGCTTCAAATAACCGAAAAAACTATATAAACCCCAAGCAAATATGCTTTTCGAACCCTATACTCAACAAAACAAAATAAACCAGAACCTGTCCAATGCACCAACCCCAAATAATACCAAATCAAACTTAACATCTCCAGATAATTACAATCCTTTTACTCTTCAAACGGCCCTTATACATCTCTTAAATGATTTCCAATCAAAAATACTATATGATTATCCCAATATCCCTTGCGCCTATTGCTCAATGCTCATGATGAACTCTTCCATAAAGTGGATACCTTATGACAATGCTGAACAATATACCTTACCTATCGCCTTTTCTAATATTCCCTTATATATACATCAAAACAACAGAAATATCATACAAGTAGCCATTTGCAATAGATGCAAAAACAAAAAACATATCGTTATCCTCCAATCTTGACTAAAATTCTTTCTAAAATCGAACATGTTCTAATGTTTAATAGAAGATACCTCTCCCTTGTGCACCTGAACTGCTTATTGGAACGAGCTGCTGGCTCTAATCACTACACTAACTATTGACACTTAGAAGGATCAATAAATATAACAAATAACTATTGCACTTTAGAACTTTACTCTGAGACCGCTGGAGCCTATCTAAATATACATGAACCTTCAAATTAGTTTTATGACACTTTAATTCCCACCTCTGATTGGCTAAAGCAACATAATGACCTTATTAAAAACTATGCTTCAAATATTAATATTACTCACCCATCCCCCGAAGCTCTAGTACCTGTTTCACTACCTCTAGTTAGACAATCAATTAATACTCATGAATCATTTCCAAACCTATATTGTAGCCCCCTTCCTAATAAAATTCTGCATCCTCCTGACTTGGTCATCCCTAATAACCCATTCCCATGAGAAATTCATGACGAAGACTCAAATTACAATCATTTAATAGCTAGCTCAATAAATATCACTAACCTTCCAATTTTATTTAGTAATCCGGATTTGGAAGCATTAATATTTCCCAATCTATTTTCTAATGATAAAGGTCATTACGAAAATATAAAACAACTCTTAAACTTCCACCTCTCAATAGAAAGTTATAGAAAATATATAAAATTGAGAATGCTGTGCCCTAATCCTAGATTCTGCCTGCATTGGTACTGGCCTCATTGGTTGTACCTAAATCTTGAAAAAAAATGAAACTTTCAAAACCAACACCATATATTATCAACTCGTAATGTCAATAGAGAATTTCATTCTGCAAAAGCGGATTTAATTAGTAAAAATTCATATAATGATAGAAACATTCTAAATGAATCAAAAACAACTACACTTTTTACAAGCTTTAAAACCGCCTCTATTTTTTTTAAAAAAAAACAACTCCAAGTCAATACAATGATATTTGCCTATAGTCTACCACAAATATTTTATATAATAACTATAGCTGAAAACAAATGGTCACAACTAAGAGAAATCTTAGAATCAACAGACAATCACCCATTACATATCTATATATTTTATCGCAATTACTTAAATAATATCTGTAGTAAATTATAGAAAAATCCTAATTTAACCCAATGGAGCAAATGGGAACATTATTTTGAACACGACAAATTTTAAAATAGAGGCACCATATATATATATAGCTTCACCTATACCAAAAAAAAATTACTGAATTAATTTATCTTAACTTAATTCGTGCAAACATACCAAACTCCTAAACTGAACCAGAATTATATTATTTAGTCAGAACATTCCAAATACACCACTGTGACCATAGATGTAGAAGCCAAGACCATAATAATAAACAGTGTTCTAAAGGTTTTCTCTAACCTCTTTCTCAAAGAACATACTGTTCACCTAATACTTTGCATTACATATACCGTCGAACCAAGGAAAAAGACCATATGGTCATTCTATATCATTCTGAAACTCTATTAATATGGAGAAGACACATAAACTTTCAATATATCACAACTACTGAATTTGCCAAATATATAACAAAATATGTAACCAAACCTGAAACCTCTGAACTTTTTGATATTGACGAGAGTAACAATTATAGACGACATATCATAGCTCTATGATTAGGAGCAATGAAATTAATGGTGCTCCTACTACAACACCTGTTAACACGATGTTCAGTTTCTGTGCATTATCTACCTTCCGCACCTTCAGAATTAAGACTAAGATCTGTTAAACCTATCCACCTACTAAATCCAACAGACAATAATAATGAGGATGATTCTGATAACTACGATTCTCCTTATTGGGACAATGCAATTGATAAATATTTTGATCACCCGACCATGAAACTTTTACTTCTATAATCTACTCTAACTATTTTAAAAACTATGTTATAAGCTCCAAACAATCAGACCAATGATCAAGATCCTTTCATACTCATGATCACAAAAACTGGATAGTTATTCAATGTAAATCACCTATTCTCCTAAGATTCACAGTATATAAAGTTCAAGATGGAGAGCCTTTTTTTTTCAACATCTTCTGATGAAAATCTCTGCAAAAACTAAACAAGAATTATTAGAGGGCATCCTACATATAGAGACCATTTTCAATATATATTTCCTGTGAGATACCAACAAGCAATTAATTTCCTATGCAGGAGTCACTTAGAAGAAACAAATAATTTATTAAATGCTTACGAATTAATTTTAAAATCTCTTTTAATTGAATTCGAAAACCAAGAGCTATCTAACTTAATATTTACCCAATTTTTCGCTTTAGAAAAACATCCTCCTCATATAAACTCTTAATCTTCATTAATTCTAGATACTAACCAATACAGCATCTACAATATATTATACAATGTTTGGGAAAGTCTACTGACAGGAAATACCCGTATTTCTTCTTAACAGGGCCAGCTGGAACTGGCAAATCATTTATGATAAGCCAGATAATTTCCTACTTACAATCCAAAAATAAAAGATATTTATTAATGGTTCCTACTGGTGTTGCTGCACAATTTATACATGGCAAAACTATTTACTCTGCCCTAAAAATTAGATTCCATGAAAACTACTATGAAACCCTACTATATACCTCCCATAACGACGAACTAGAACTAAAAAAAATTGATGTCATAATTATCGATGAAATATCAATGGTAGATGGCGACCTTTTCACATGTATTAGCAACATATTTGCTAAAATACACAACAACAATCTTACTTTCGGAGGCATACCAATACTAATCGTAGGTGATTTATCTCAACTACACCCAATTTGCCCCATATACGTTTTTCACTCATCAGCCT